TCACTTTCTTTTTCACGATTACATGATTCAAATAATTTTCTACTTGAGTCATCGAATCTGTCAAACCATAATTTACATACAATGTACATGGGAGGGGGCTGGGTGGGTGGGGGGTCTACTACTTGGGGGACATTGAACAGACCAAACTAGGTCTTCAGCCCCCATTGCAACACACTTGGGATCTTAAATCTTTCCTTTCTTTCTTCACTGTTCTGCCTTTCTTTGTCGTGCCGCCTGAGAAGCATGGCGAACACTTAAGAATCACTCTGTCCGTCATCACACGATGTCGTTGTGGCTTTGTCATAATGGGTTAGAGTTTGAGTTCGAACACTTTGTTAATATTCCTTTTTTTGAAGGAGTTATGGCCCTTCGCACATAGGAAATTATTAATATGTATAATGGATTACAGTTTGAGTTAGAATCCAGTGTCAATGTTCTATTTTTTCTGGTGTTATAGCCCTTTGTACATGGGAAATTCTTATAAGTAACTGTATTTTTCCGTCAACACATGCACTTCATTCGAATTGTAGTTTTCTTCTATAGGTGTCTCCTTGACACCCGTCCTCATATGACCCTGGCTGTTGCGAGGACATAAATCACAAGTACATCCCTTGAAGTCCTTCTGTATGGCTTGATGATGTTTTCAAACCAATGGTCTGGAGCATTACTTGGTTAAGAAGGCTTAATGCCGTTTAACAGAGGGTCTCTCTCATAATACTCTTGCTCCCTAGGGGAGGAGTGAGGTCCCAAAGGGGGATTCCCCAATTCAATTATACAATTTATTGTTAGGACCCCTGCACATCTTTAATAATCAGGTTTTCCGTCTGTCTGTCCTCCTATCTGTTTTTAGCTCACCTGCCGAGGACAAGTGAGCTTTTGCCCTGGTGCTGCGTCCGTCGTCTGGCCATTGTCCGGCCCTCGGGAGTCAACTATTTATGCCCCCGCCATTAAATGGGGTGATGGGGGGCATATAGTGTTACCCTTGTCCGCCCTGTCCCGTCCCGAAGCATCCTGATTCAATGTAAACACTTATCAACTACATTCTTTGACAGATTTTGGTCAAATTAATACAAAGGTCAAGTATGGGTATACTTCTTGCATCGTTATATTTCAGTGATCCAAGGTCAAGGTCACACTTGCTATATATATCATCGACTGATTCAATTTAAACACTTAGCAACTTAATTCGTTCATGGATTTTGGATTTTGGTCCAACTTTATGCAAAGGTCAAGTATGAGTATATTTTGGACATTGTTGTGTTTCAGGGTTCCATGGTCAAGGCCAAGATCACTGTTGCTATATATAGAAAATCATCAACTGATTCAATTTAAACACTTAGCAACTTCATCCAATATGTTATGGAGATGGTAAAAACATATGAATATTAAAATCAACTTATCAGCTTTAAGTGTAGTTCCTTGTGTGTGTGTGCATGTTTCAGGTTATCAAAATCAAAGTGGTTGTAACTTTTTATAGAACACTGAAACTAATTTCACATGGCAGCGGTGGCATTTATGTCCTACAGACATTTTCTAGTATCTTTAAACATCTTCTTCTCAAAAACCTAGAGGCCCAGAGACCTGGTATTGGGCCTCTAGCGTGCTGGGATGAAGGACTATCAAGTTTGTACAAATGAGTAACCTTGCCCAACTTTTCCAGGTCACAAGGGTTTAATGAGGTAAAATAAACTGTTAAATTTCGTTGAATAACTCCTGATTGCTTTGCCTATTTAACCATTACGAAAAAATGCTAGTTTAAGTCATATTATACGATAGAATCAGGTAAGTAAAGTAGGCCCGGCCCAACTTTCAGGATATGATACCACGTATGGGGAAAAGCACTCTGGGGTTAAAATGACGTTCTTGGGTAAAATCATGCTGAACTATTTAATCCATGTCAAAGTTCAAAGTTAATGTTACTATAAATAGAAAAACATTTCATGCACAATGTTTTGAGCTCTTTTGGGCCGTATGCACTCAGACTTTATCCAGTGTAATACAATGTTTGCTTAAGCTTTTGGATATCTTTTCAGCCTTTGATATCAAAGGTCAAGGTCACTTACTGTAAATAGATTATCAGTTTGTGCACTGTATATCGAATTCTGTTGGACTGATTAAAACTCAAATTTTATCAAATCCTTCCTGGAAGAAAGTACCTGCTTGGGATAGCTTTTCAGGTCCAGTGGTCAAAGGTCAATGGGTCACTATAAATAGAAAATCTGTTTAATTCACTATTATATATTATGCACAATATCTTGATTTCTCTTGGGCTGATTACACTCTTGACTTGATACAGTGCTTCCTCAAGGAAAGTTCCTGCTTGGGATAACTTTTCAGGCCCTTGGGGTTAGGTCTCTATCACTGTTACTATATGCATAGAAAATCAGTTTAAAAAATCACTTCTTATATTTTGAGTTCTGTTGGGCTGATTACACTCAAGACTTTATCCAGTGCTTTTATAAAAGAAAACACTTGCTTTCACTACCTTACCACAGTTTCTTTTAAATCTTCAATAAACATAATTATTGAGTATAGTCACAGCGGCATTTAATATATATATATATATAGATAAATCTTATTACCGGTTAGCTTGTAATAATAAGAAGAAGAAGGAACGGAGTAAAAACAATAAGTCCCCAAACTTTGTCCAACGACCCCTGTTGGACAAAGTTTGGCAAAATCAGACAACAACTAAATTGCGACCAATGGCTTGATGATGTTTTCAAACCAATGAGCTGTTCGAAACTGTTAATATTGTGTTCAGCATCCCTCAAAAACCCTATGTACCAATTCCGGGCAGAATCAGACAACATCTATATTTCGACCAATCAGAACCCAGTATATGGTGGCCATTTTGTCAAATTAGAAAACAAATGTCGCAGTTGAGTTTGCAATGCCATATTTCACATACATACTAAATTTGAACGAAATCTAACTACAACGGAGCTTCGACCAGTATATGGCAGCCATTTTGTTTAATTAGAAAACGGATGTTACAGTTGAGTTCGGGGTACCATCATACACTTACATGCCAAATTTGGCATGCATTAGAAAATATCTATAAAACATGTAAAATAGGATAGGTGCCATTGGCTTTCCTTAGCGAACACGTTTAGAAATTTTAAATTCCCAAAAATTTCAAAACTACATGGCGGCCATCTTGGACTGCCGGTCGAGATAAAAATAGCTTGTTGCACACCTAGACCCCCTAATGAATATGTGTGTGTAGTTTCATGATGATCCCCCCAGTAGTTTCTGAGAAAACCTCCGGACAAGTTCATGGCTGAAGAAACGGAGTAAAAACTTTGTTTGGGGGACTTCTTTGTTTGGGGGACTTAATAAGAAACGGAGTAAAAACAATCAGTCCCCAAACTTTGTTTGGGGGACTTAAAATAATAATTATAAGAAGAAACGGAGCAAAAACAATATGTCCCCAAACTTTGTTTGGGGGACATAATTATTGAGTCTCTGACACATGATTGCTGCGATAGCGCCGCAATATTGCAGCGATATCGCCGCATGTTCAGATTTCGTATGCAAATAAGAATTCTGGTAATATCACCAGAATGTGGCCAGAATATCGCAAGAAGGTTCTGGCACTTGCAGCAATATAACCAAAATGTGCTGGTGTACTTGCGGCGATATCGCCATAGGCTAAGGTTCTGTTGATATTTTGACTCACCCACTCTGCATGTCTTGGCAAGCAAGATTGGGATTCCCACAATCAGAAGTATATGACAATATTGCAACCGGGCTATGGAGTATATAACGTTTAGATAATATTTCATAGCTTATATTGATCAGAGATTGGTTACAAATTTCAACACATACAATATATTTAGACTATACAAATAACTAATGACTCAATTATTTTCTACTTATAATTTTACTGGCCAATTAAGGTACGTGTATAGACATGCATCCATCAATCAGCACAGGACGCAGCCCAAATACTTGAATATAGATATGTCATTGCTAAACTTCCGACCGATTATTTCATGTATTTATCTATTTTATTTGTATATTTATTTTCTTTTTAATTTGCAAACTTTATTATACATATAACTAATTTTTTTTCATATTAAAACATTCCAGCACTCACATATTCTTAAAATTACCTGTACCAGGGACGTATAGTGGATCGTTTACCTGTACATAGCCATTGCTAAACTTCCAACTGATTATTTCATGTATTTATCTATTTTATTTGTATTTTTTTTTTAATTTGCAAACTTTATTTTACATATAACTATTTTTTTATATAAAAACATTTCAGGACTCACATATTCTTAAAATAACCTAGCAAATACATAGCCAGCGATCGTTTACTTAAATAACCAGCAAAACGCATATTCAACGCACATTCAACCCTAAAGTTAAAACGCATATCAAACGGTCAACGCAACGCAATCGCAACGCACTTTTGGTAAAGAAAAACGGTCCAGGGTCTGTTTATAAAGATTATTTCACAATGTTTATCAAAGTTAATGCAGAAGATTTCGCTTAAAGTCACTTCTCATTTGTCAGAGGATTACTTAATGTTAACCGGAAAGTGACATAAAAAAGAAGGGGTGTTTTTCTGCCCATTTCAGCAGTCAAAACCCGGAAGTTTAACAATATTTAACTGTCTAAGTGAAATGGTTTTACAATGAAGATCGTTTAATGAAATATTTGGAACTGGGACAGCTTTTTCTTTATTAATGGAGAAATAATCATCTTTTATAATTAAAAAGTGTGTACAGTGAAATAGTTAAAAGGTTTATACAGTAAAATAGAAAAAGTCAATACAATGAAATAGTTAAAAAGTTGATACAATGAAAAAGGTTATACACCACAGTAATAAAGTTTATTCAGTGAAATAGTTAAAACGTTTATAGTTATAAAGTTTATACATTGAACTAGGTAAAATGTTTATACAGTGAAATAGTTTGAAAGAAAAGCAGGATTTTGCTAATGATGTGACACAATGACAAATCATTTGAAATTTTCTTTCATTACAGGTATTCCCACAGTGACCATTGGTTTGGGTAGTTACAATATTAATTCCGGAACTACTGTAACACTGCAGTGTACTGTTGGATCAACTGTCACCGTCACCGCTGTTTCCTGGTCACGTATTCTTAATGGAGTACCAAGTTCTATTACAGTAGATAACTCCAAGTACACAAATGCAAACACTGGAAACCCATCTCTAACCATCGCAAGTACCACCAATGCGGACGATGGCATCTATGTCTGTTCTGCAACAAACAGCGCTGGAACATCTTCAAGTCTTGCCACAGTCTTGACCGTCACTACCACCAGTATACGTATGTAGTTACATTTATACACCAATATATTTTAGGGAGTTCAGTAAAACCTTTTGTATTGCTTTCATTTGTTATTTTTGATACTCCAGGGGTATAATGATACTTGTCCAATTTAAAGATTACAGAGAATTAAGCGACACCTGAGGTCAAAGCAAGTCAATTTTACTGTTACCCTGCCACATGATTCTTTTGGTGTTCTTGAAAGGATCAGACTTCAAAAAAAAGTGAGCTTAACCCCTGGAGTATGGAGGATTTCATTTGTCCAGCTGAACGGATGTGTTGTAAAGAGATCTAGGCAATATTTACATATATAAATGATGCTGGTTACACTGTGCGTACATATTGTAGAAAAGTGAAATAGGATGCAAAACATGCATTTATGGACTGACCATGATTTGAACTGTATAATGATATAGGCGAAAATCTATGTAATTAAACATTCATTTCATCTGCTACCTTGATGGTTAATAAAGGAACTGGTGCACTGTACATGTGAGTACCTGGAAATGGGCCATTCAATGCAGCCTTATTTATGGTTTTCCTACCAAATTTGTTTAATTTTACTTGTATGGTGGAATGATTTGCGGTTATGTTTCATATACAACACAGTGTTAGTCTATGGCTAATATATGATGCATGTATTTTTGATGCGTAATAAATAAGGATACCTCACTCTGGTTGGTTATCTTAATTTTTGTTCACGAATTGCCCTAAAAACGGGTAAATTTCATACAAATTTGTATAAGGACAAACATACTGGCAAGTGTAAGGCTAAATTTTATTCCCAATGTGACTCATGTATTTTATACCTGGTTATTATATGAGGCTGATTCCTTCTGAATAGTTTGTTGATTTGCATGCAAAAATGTCCTTCAAATTATTTAATTTTTAAATACATATAAGTATGCAGATACAAATTCTACTATATATTGTATGTTTACACCAAACTTCAGCTATGGACCACTGTTATATTGTCCTGAAAACAGGAAATAGTAATGATTCAACATGGAATATGGTAAACTTTGCTTCTGATATCCTACTTCACTGATTCTATCCCAGTAAACCTGGCTTGAGGTTGTTCAGCCATGTTGTAACAGTGTTTAAAAAATAGTATATATTGTACCTCCTGGGCCAAAGAAAAATATGGGGGTGTTCCCTGAACGCATACATCTATAAATCAATAGGTAAGAAACATCAAAATATTTGTTGGTTGTATCGAAGTTGAGTGAGAAAGTGCCCTTTGGCATTGTGTAATATTTTTTGGGATTTTTTTAATGACCAACATCAAAACAACAATGTTATTCTAAGTGTTTAGACACTATTTTTTTTCATTCTTTAAAACTGTTTATTGAACTTTGATCTGATAGATAAACTGTTTTATCAAATTTTCAGAGATTCCAACTGTAACAATTTTCCAAACAGCCTTTGGGGCACAAGTTTCAACTACGATCACACTCGGCTGTACTGTAACCTCAGCTGCGACCGTCCTCTCTGTCTACTGGAGGCGTGACATGGGGTCAGGATTCGTGGACATTACTATTGATGGGACACACTTCTCTGGTTCAACCATCACCGTTCCTTCCCTGACCCTCATCAATGCAGACATAACAGACTCGGGGACCTACCAATGCTTTGCTACAAATGCTGGTGGAATTGGTAGTAGTGCGACAGCTTCTGTGACAATTTCATCAGGTATATGCATAAAACTATCATAAAAATATCTCCATACAGGACCACCATACTGTGTAAGCATGTAATTTAGACTGAAAATACTGTCAGGGGGAATAATACCTTTTCCCCCCATATTTCCAATTTCGGGGGTATGGTGGCTTGATGGGGATATCTTAGTTTGTCCTCGTTATATCATAACTTTCATTTATATTATAGAACTGACAGCAGAGCGATATGTAAATTCATATAGTCAGAATAAAATCTGAGTATCTGTATAGGTTGGTGGAATGTCAATGGACAAGCCAGATTTGGTATGCGAGTATGTTTCGGCACGGGGAGTGCTAGAAGTATGTCACGGTGACCTATTTACTAAAATGGGTATACAGCTCAGTAAATAAAGAAATCATTACTGGTGGGGGACTTTGACTGCTTCAATACTTTGTCTTAGTTAGCCTTCAGCTTACATTTCTAGTTTATAGAGGAGCGATGGTAATAGTTAGCCTTTAGCTTACAGTTCTAGTTTATAGACGAGCGATGGTAATAGTTAGCCTGTAGCTTACAGTTCTAGTTTATAGAAGAGTGAGGGTAAAAGTTAGCCTTTAGCTTACATTTCTAGTTCGTAGACGAGCGAGTGTAAAAGTTAGCCTTCAGCTTACATTTCTAATTTATAGAAGGGCCAGGGTAAAAGTTAACCTGTAGCTTACATTTCTAGTTTATAGAGGAGCGAGGGTAAAAGTTAGACTGTAGCTTACAGTTCTAGTTTATAGAAGAGTGAGGGTAAAAGTTAGCCTTTAGCTTACATTTCTAGTTCGTAGACGAGCGAGTGTAAAAGTTAGCCTTCAGCTTACATTTCTAATTTATAGAAGGGCCAGGGTAAAAGTTAACCTGTAGCTTACATTTCTAGTTTATAGAGGAGCGAGGGTAAAAGTTAGCCTTTAGCTTACATTTCTAGTTCGTAGACGAGCGAGTGTAAAAGTTAGCCTTCAGCTTACATTTCTAATTTATAGAAGGGCGAGGGTAAAAGTTAACCTGTAGCTTACATTTCTAGTTTATAGAGGAATGATGGTAATAGTTAGCCTTTAGCTTACAGTTCTAGTTTATAGAGGAGTGATGGTAATAGTTAGCCTTTAGCTTACATTTCTAGTTTATAGAGGAGCAAGGGGAATAGTTAGTCTTTAGCTTACATATCTAGTTTATAGAGGAGCCAGGGTAATAGTTATTTTTTAGCTTACATTTCTAGTTTATAGAGTAGCAATGGTAATAGTTAGCTTTTAGCTTACATTTCTAGTTTATAGAGGAGCGAGGGTAAAAGTTAGCCTGTAGCTTACAGTTCTAGTTTATAGAAGAGCGAGGGTAAAAGTTAGCCTTTAGCTTACATTTCTAGTTTATCGAGGAGCCAGGGTAATAGTTAGTCTTTAGCTTACATTTCTAGTTTATAGAGGAGCGATGGTAAAAGTTAGCCTTGAGCTTACATTTCTAGTTTATAGAGGAGCAAGGGTAAACGTTAGCCTTTAGCTTACAGTTCTAGTTTATAGAGGAGCCAGGGTAATAGTTAGCCTTTAGCTTACATTTCTAGTTTATAGAGGAGCGAGGGTAATAGTTAGCCTTTGGCTTACAGTTCTAGTTTATAGAGGAGCGAGGGTAATAGTTGGCCTTTAGCTTACAATTCTAGTTTGTAGAGGAGCAAGGGTAATAGTTAGCCATTAGCTTACATATCTAGTTTATAGAGGCACGAGGGTAATAGTTAGCCTTTGGCTTACAGTTCTAGTTTATAGAGGCGCGAGGGTAATAGTTAGCCTTTAGCTTACATATCTAGTTTATAGAGGCGCGAGGGTAATAGTTAGCCTTTGGTTTACAGTTCTAGTTTATAGAGGAGCGAGGGTAATAGTTAGCCTTTGGCTTACTGTTCTAGTTTATAGAGGAGAGAGGGTAATAGTTAGTCTTTAGCTTACATATCTAGATTATAGAGGCGCGAGGGTAATAGTTAGCCTCTGCCTTACAGTTTTAGTTTATAGAGGAGCGAGGGTAATAGTTAGCCTTTGGCTTACAGTTCTAGTTTATAGAGGAGAGAGGGTAATAGTTAGCCTTTAGCTTACATATCTAGTTTATAGAGGAGCGAGGATAATAGTTAGTCTTTGGCTTACAGTTCTAGTTGTGGTATGTTGTCAGCCTAAAACATACCTCTTGTCTCTGTCACTGCACGATGTTTCCGTCTTTGTCTAAAACCTTGACCTCTCTCAATTGATATCACGGCTTGACATCTTCTTGTCTCTCTATGAGTTGCTTTGTCATATAAAGGAAGACAAAAAATGTTTTAGTATTTGTTCTTCTACTTCTAATATAACCATTACCAGGCCCTCACTTATAAACTCGGAAGATATCTTGATGAAACTTGTAGTATACCTGCCTAACCCCAGGAAATATTTTTGACAAATTTTGGGAAATCAAGCAGTAAAAGCAGAAAATTACATTTATCTAAAATATTTTGGAGTCAGAAAAATGTTCTAAAAATGACATCCATATATCGCATCCCATGGCACACAAATTAGGAAAATTATGTTTTGATAATTATTACCAAATTTAAATAGTCTGTAACAAATATCATTTTATAACAGGAAAACAAGTAAAACTGATGGATTACGTTAATAATCTGGACAAGAAGAAGTTGAGCATCCTGAAGACCACGTTACACAATCAAAAGAAACGCACACATTAGGTGTTGACTCCCAATAGAGAAATCCTTCTTCTCAGAAAATGTTTGGAAGACAAAATTTATCAACTGCCTTTTATTTGAAGTACATGTATTTTGATGTTCTGAAGGTTCTCTTCTAAACACATGTTCTTGTATGACTGACACTGTGTTTTGGTGATTTGTAACTTATAACAATCAAAAGCTGTATAGAAAAACGGTATGATATATATATATAAAAGAGGCTATATTTTGAAATCAGCTGACGTCTTACTTGTTGGTATTATATAATGTTTTCTTTTATTACAGCTGCCCCGTCCGTTAATATCCAACTAGCCTCCTATACCACTACTATAGGAACTACCTACACCATTCCATGTTCTGTATCATCAACTACAACAGTCACAAATGTCTTCTGGCAGCGTACCATCAATGGTCAAACCTCAACAATCACCATTGATGGTGTTAATTTCTCTGGAGCTACCACAGGCGCTCCATCCCTGAACATAATCACAGCTTCTATCTCAGACTCTGGAACATACATCTGCTCTGCTACCAATTCTGCTGGAACTGGAAGTGACGCGACACAGCTAACTGTTTCTGGAGGTAAGTAAATAAGTGGGCATTGACTTTGATTGTTATTGCACTATTAAAACAATCATGTAATTTGATGACGGTGAATGAAGCCTTACAATCTTTGTTGAGCTAACCTGTGCTGAAGGATCGATGTGTGTCTGTTGCCTGTCAATCTGCTGTTTTCTCTCCATCATTGGTCAACAATGACAAATTATTCTCAATGCAAAAAAAGAAAATCCACACCATGAGAATTTCTAATTTTATGGAATTACATTCTACATACTTGGAGAGAATGCTACAAAATGTATGTGTACCTTAAGCTGGAAATGCGACATGGGTTTATCACCATTTACCTAATGAAAGGGTCTAAAACTGGTTTCAAAAAGCATAAGGCATGCTTACAGATTCATGCCCTTTTAACTGTGAAAATATGGTCTTACCTGGCTTTAAATTTATTGCTTGTCTTGCTATTTATCAGTTATATTTTCCTGGTTGTAAAAATATAAAAAATCATCACTGGATACAAACCCAGATGTATTGGATTTCAATATGATAATAACTATGATATTGTTTTTACCTTTCTATATAATAAGAGAGAATGAAAATGTAGTCCTATTGACGAAGGTGAAGTGCCACTTCCTTTCATCCAGTATGCCTTACAATTGACAAAGTTATCATAAGTGGAATACAACTTTTCCAATAAACCTTGTAAGCCATAATGAATAGAAATACATCCATCAAAGGAAAATGCTTAATAATCTGTACAAAAAAAGAGTTAAGCATTCTGTAAACCACAGTGCACAATCATAAAGAACACATTTGTTGGGCAGGGCTCGCACTGTTGGTAGACATTCACTTATTATCCCCTCACAACGAAAGTTTGTTGGGATATAAGATTCCGCCCGTATGTACGTATGTATGTTACACTCTTTGTCATAGCTCTAGCGACTTCATTCCTCAACGGAATTTCATGAAACTTCACACAAGTGTTAGTAAGACAAAACCTTGAACAAGTTTGCGTTTCGAGTTTCTACGGTGAAGGTAATGGTCACTGTTACTATTTTTAGAAAAACTTTGTCATCGCTCTAGAGACTTCATTCCTCAACGGAATTTCACGAAATTTTCAGATTACTGCATTTAAAGTAAAGGTCACTTTTACTATTTTTAAGAAAAAAAATGTCATCGCTCTTATAATTGACTTCATTCCTCAATGGAATTTCATAAAACTTCAAACAAGTGTTTGTTATAACAATACCTTAAACAAATTCGTTTTTCAGATTACTGCGTTTAAGGTAAAGGTCACTTTGGACTATTTTTAAGAAAAAAATTGTCATCGCTCTTATAATTGACTTCATTCCTCAATGGAATTTCATGAAACTTCAAACAAGTTTTTGGTATGGCAATGCCTTGAACAAATTCTCCTTTTAGGTTTCTATGTGTAAATGCGAGGGGGTTTGTATCACTTGTGATGCCTTGTTGTATTTTTGATTAGCTACTTAAAATACTGATGTGGCTACTAAATTGACTACCTAGTTTTAGAAAATGGGGAAAATCTGTATCTTTGTCCCAAAAAATGATCTGTTCACTTGCATGTGTATTGTGGCCGACACCAATTGTGTAAATTTAAACAGAGCCGTCACATTTCCGCGCCCACTGTACAACTGCGAGCTTATGCTTTTTTCAAGGTGGTAAAGACAATTAGCAAGCTTCAGATGGCAAGAGGTGTTATAATTCGTGTTACATTAATGGACAGTGGGGTCAAGTTAATTGGATGACTCATTGAAATTGAGAAAACATAATTTAATAAGCAAGTCACACATGGGGTCTCGCAAGGTACATTTGTCAGTGCCTAAGCTGATCTGATCACCTTGTTCAAACACCACATCTACTAATTTATGGGTTCAGTATATTTAGCTCACCTGGCCCAAAGGGCCAAGTGAGCTTATGGCATGGTGCGGCGTCCGTCTGTCGTCCGTCCGGCGTCTCTCCGTCCGGCGTCAACTTTTTATTTTAACAACTTCTTCTCAGTAACCAAAAGGCATAGGGTGATGATATTTGGCCAGAAGCAAGCTGGGATAAAGGGCTACCAAGTTTGGTCAAATAAATGACCTTCATCCATTTTCAAGGTCACAGGGGTCGAATATGTTAAAATCTTTAAACAACTTCTTCTGAATAACCAAGAGGCTTAGGGTAATGATATTTAGTCAGTAACATGCTGGTATGAAGGGCTACCACGTTTGTTCAAATAAATGACCTTGGCTTATATTCGCTGATCCGATTTCAATAAAATTTCGCAGGAACCTTCCTTGGTCAAATATTATATGGTTCCCACCCCCAAAAAAGGGGTCAAATTGTCTTAAATGTTAAAAATCTTCTTCTCCAGACCCAGATATGCCCGAAACCAATACTTTTCATAGGTGAAAGGGTCTTGAGGTACTTTATCAAAATTGTGAATTTCATGACCCTCAAGGTTCACGTTTGCCCCTGGGGAGGGGTTGAAAATTACTATAGTTTATGAAGGAAAATCCAACTTTTGGGTAAATTTTGTTCATTTTCTACTGGAAATCATTCAAACAAGCCATGGGCTGAGGTGCCGAGTCCAAATTGGGTCATATAGCTAGAAATTTCAACAGTCAACTTCTCCAGACTGAGATAAGCTGGAAACTAATACTCGTCATAGATGGAAGGGTCTTGATGTGCTTTATTATCAAAACTGTGAATCTCATGACCCCCAGACTCCATGTTTTCCCCTGGGGAGGGGGCGAAGTTTTATATAGGAAAATGATACTTTTGGGTATTTTGGTTCATTTTCAATTGGATATTATTCAAACTTGACAGCCATTATAACTATGTAACGACGGTTTGATACTTTGACAGTATTGGCCCGGGCCCAGGAACGAAGTCGGGTGACTTATTGTTATTGTTCCGTTTTTTACTTATTATTATATGCCCGTCAAATTTGACAGGAGTATTATGGTATGGCGTTGCCTGTCCGTCCGTCCGTCCGTCCGGCAATCTCCTCCTACATTTTTCAATCGATCTCTTTGAAACCTGGTATACATTATTATCATGATATGAAGTTGTGTCTCCCTTAAAAGATTTTTGATTCGACAATTTTTTTAAAAAGTTATTGCCCTTTGTTCATTTCAGTATTTGATTTTTGTCCAGGAATCTCCTGCTACATTTTTCAACGAATCTCTTTGAAACTTGGTATACATTATAATTGTGATATGAAGTTGTGTTTCATTGAAAAGAATTTTGATGCGACAATTTTTCCAAAAGTAATTGCCCTTTTTGTTCATTGCAGTATTTGATTATTAGGGTCAGGGGTCAAGGTCATTTTTTTTAGCTTTTCACTGGTGAACATTTCGCTAAGACATTATGAAGCAAAGTTGTTCGGAATTAAACAAAGAGACACACTGAGGTAAAAAATCGAGGTCAAAGGTCAAGGTCATTAAATTCAAAGGTCAAGGTCAAATTTGCATCTTTTCACTGATGAACATTTTGTCATGACATTATGAAACAAAGTTGATCAGAATTAAACAAGGAGTCAACTGACCAAAGGTCAAGGTCATCGGGTCAGGGGTCAAGGTCAAATTTTGTAGCTTTTCCCTGATGAACATTTTGTTATGACATTATGAAGCAATGTTGTTCAGGACTTAACACAGAGTCAACTGACCTTAGGTCCAGGTTACGGGGTCCAAAGGGTCAAGGTCAAGTTTTGTATTTTTCACTGATGAACATTTTGTTATGATATCAAGAAGCAAAGTTGGTCGGAATTAAAGAATAAGTCAACTGACAAAAGTTCAGGGTCACTAGGTTAATGGTCAAGGTCATTTGGGTCCAAAGGTCAAAGACAAAGTGGATCTCTGGCTCTTGATGTAGGAGGTATATAAGGTGAAATAAAACAAATCAAAGCTAACAAATGAGTATTGCACCGGTATTTACATTTCTGTTAGCCCAGCAAATATGGAGGTGGAAGGAAACAAGACTCACATCATAGTACATGTAAAATGTATATTTTGCTTCCTTGCGATTCTTTTTGAAGTCCTAATGTCAAACGTCAAGCTCAGCTATATGGGCAGATTGCTTCTTGATGATTATGGGGGATATATTGCCACAAGACGGGGCCCTTACTGACCTGTCAGTGATCTAGTTTTATCCTGAGAGTTTCTCCTACATTTTGCTAGCATGTCGGCTAACCACTGTTTGAATGATGCAGATCTTATTTCAATGTAAGAAAGTATATAATACTATATGGCATTCGACGGGCGTATATTGTTCCGCCCCGCGGTACTCTTGTTATTATTATTAAGTCACCCCGAACGAAGTCGGGTGACTTGTTGTTATTGTTCCGTTTCTTGCTTATTATAATTATTATTATTTAGTCACCCCGAACAAAGTCGGGTGATTTGTTGTTATTGTTCTGTTTCTTACTTATTATTAGCTCACCTGGTCCGAAGGACCATGGTGAGCTTATGCCATATTTTGGCGTCTGTCGTCCGTCCATCATCTAAACGACTTCTTCTTCTTAACCACTGATTGGAATTTGACTAAACTTGACTGGAAGCATCCCTAGGTGGTGGGGATTCAAAATTGAACAAAAAGTTTGGCTAAAGGGGGCTGTATTGCTGGCAGCATCCCTAGGTGGTGGGGATTCAAAATTGTACAAATCGTGAGGCTGACCCCCCCAGGGGGCTGAGAAGCGGGGCCAAAAGGGGGCAATTTGGCTTTATTGCTTTAAGCAACTTCTTCTCTGGAACCAAGTGATGGATATCAACCATATTGTACTGGAAGTATCCCTAGGTGGTGGGGATTCAAAATTGTACAAATGGTGTGGCTGACCCCCCATGGTGCTGATGGGCAGGGCCAAAAGGGGTCATTTTGGCTATATTGCTACAAACGACTTCTTCTGGATAACTATGCACTGGATATCAATCATATTTGATCAAAAGCATTCATGGGAGGCAGGGATTCAAAATTGTACAACTGGTGGGGCTGACTACCCAGGGGCTGAGGAATGGGGCCAA